CCCCCATTCCTCCTCCCCCATTCCTCCTCCCCGTCCCTCCTCCCCATCCCTCCTCCCCATTCCACTTCCCCAATTCCAAGTGCCCCTGGAAAGCTCTCCTAGGATCCTCCTACCGGTAGTTTCCCAGGGGGACACTTTCCCTTGGAAGGAGAGCCTTCCCCACAGAGTGTTTAACATCAGGGCCTCACTGCCATGCCTGAAATCCCAGGGAAGGGTCCTGCTAAGATGGGGTGCCAAGGAGCTCAGCACCCCAGTTTCCTGAGAAGGGGCAGGGTTCTTTGCTGGGTCAACCTGCTGCAACCTTGTATCCATTGCATTTCTTTAGCACACACCACAGTCTAATGAGGGAAACATGACCACAGACTGACGTTGGGAAGAATTAGTGGGTGTTGGCGTGATGGGGAGAGAGGGGTTTCTCAGACAGGTGACACAGAAGTGGAAGACTGTGTGGGGCTGCTGGGCGCTGGGGTAGGTTAGGGGCAGCAGAAGCAGTCTGTGGGATGGGTGGGCATAGGAGGCTGAGATCCCAAACCAGGCTGATCCTGGTAGATGCGGGTGCCTCTCTCCATGGACCCTCCTCCCCCAGTACCTCCATTCTCAGAACTTCAGGGTCCCTACTAGGGTGGACCCCAGCCCAGAAGCCCAGTAGTCCTCTTCCTATAGAGACCTTGCATACCCAGTCTGCTGGCCAAGGGCAAGGTACCCAGAAGTAAGCACAAGTTAGCCAGTGCTTACCTTGCCCAGCAGCCAGCACAGTGGGTCACCAAGACCACAGTGAGAGGGGGGAGGGTCGGCAGGACTGGAACCCAGGGTTCAGCTTCTCAGGGGCCTCCTCCTGCCCAGGATGGTCCATCAGGTGATGACATCATGGGTCTGGCCTTTGGCCACTGCCCAGGGCTCCAGTGATTGCCCACTGTTATGGTTCCCATTGTCAAAACCTGGCCATCACCTACTGACAGGACTGAGACCCAGGAGCCCACGTGCCATCCTGCTGCATGGCCATGACAGAGTGGACACTCCCAGGTGGTGACCCTTACAGTCTGCCACATCATTAATATTCAGAGCTGCCCAGAGGGAGCGTTAGTAAAAGGGCTGAGATGGGGGCCAAGACCTGCCAAAGGGCATCACTGCTGGCTGGTGGACTTTGACCCAGCAGCTTAGACCTCTTATCTGATTTGGGAGCGGGGCTCCAGGGGGGGTGAGGGGGATGGGCGAGGCCAGAAGGGAGCTGGAGAAAAGAGCCGGGGCTGTACCTGGTACAGACCAGTGGTGATAACAAGTCGATGGGCCAGATAAGACGTCGGCGCGGGAGCAGTATCTGCCGCTCGCTCGGGTGGACCCGGCTCGGCTCCCGCGTGGTGGCTGGGGCTTGAGTGCCAGCCACTTTGATTTATAGCCAAAAATAATAGGACTTTTATACTGTGTGATTGATTTATTTGATGTTAATCACAGCCCTTATCAGTGGTATTAATAATCTGCTGAGCCTGTGACGTCACCAAGGGGGGGCTTTCTGGGAGCACATCGATTGAGGGCCCACGGTGGTTATCAGGCCTGGCTAGGAAGGCAAATATGCCCTTTGGGCTGGAGTTGGGTGCGGGGCCAGAGGGGGGCCAGAGGAAACCCAGAAACCCAGCCCTAGTGTGGCCCTCGGCCTCTGTGTTAATAATATAATTATTAACAGCTGCCAGCATCACAATTATTAGGGCTGTAATTAATGAGGAATGGGGCTACTAAAAGAGGAACCCTGGGAAGGCTGACACCCTCCCCATTAGAACGAACCAGGGCCAAGAACCAGGTGGTGTTCTGTGGTCACCACACCAGACCTGCGTCCTCTTTCTGGGTCAGTTGGGGTGGGCAGCTCGCTGCCAAGGCCAACAGGGACACTGTGATGTTTCATCTGCAGACACGGAACCACCCCCACCCCTACAACCGACCCCCACATTCCCAGGAGGCCCAGAGAAGATGGAGGGACAGGAGCCAGAGACGCGGCCCCAGGAGACATCAGCCAGCGCTTGGAATGGGCCAGGTAACCACCAAGGCGGGGTGATGGGAGTGTATCCCCAGGACCCATGTTCTGAGGGTCTTGGAGCTGAGGTGACTGGCCCTGGTCAGTTGATGGAAACCAACTGGGATCAGGTCTGTGTCTGACCGGAAGTCCAGAGGGCCATGCATCCCCAGGAAACCGACGTAGAGCAGCCCAGACGGGGCGTGCCCAGGCCCGGCAGTGTGGGGCGGAGGGGGAGGCGGGGGATAGCAGGTGCAGAGGGAACAAAGGCGACTGGGGGCGGGGTGCCCAGCACCACTGCCCAGCTGGGGACTTGTAGAAACCTGGCAGTCCGAGTGGGTGGGAGAGGAGGCCCCACCCAGGGGCTTCAGCCAAATCTAAGGCTGTAGACAAGCTCCAAACAGCCAAGTCTAAGGGGGGAGCAGGGGGAGGAGTCTTTGACAATGGTTTTGTCTCTGCCTGTCACGCCCACTGTCCCCAGTTTGAAGCTGAGCTCCAGATCTTACACCCCATCCAATCCACAGCCACCCCCTTCAGGCTTCCCACTGACAAGTGTTTTGTCGTCCATAATTAATCATTAATAAGTAGCTCACTCTGTGGCATTTGGAACCGTTTTCCAGGCTGGGTGTGGTATGAAGGTCTGGCCTGTCATGGGCAGTCCAGCTAAGCCAAAGTGATCCATGGTGGGGAGGGTGACCGGAGGCTGGCACTGGGGCCAGGCACTAACTTTTGGGTTGCCTGCTCAGTACCAAGTATACAGCCCTCAGGGCATGTGCGTGTGGTATCCTAACAAACAGGTGAAAATGCATTTGGCAGAGAAAAGGCTTGCTGGGAGGACCTCACCTGCTGGGGACCAGATAGGAAGGATGTCACAGCTGGGCTCCTGCCAGCTTCTAGTCCAGAGGTTGAAGAGAGCTGGGATCAATTAGTGATGTCTGCCACAGGCATCGCCCACTGACTTAGCCCCGTCCATTTCCATGATTGATGGGAGGAGCGCCTGACCCAAGTTGTCAGAGCCAGAGTGTGACCCCCACACATGGGGAAACCAAGTCGGCTCCCTTCCTCTCCAAATTTATCAGGCGATGGGGCTGGCCACTGGGCAGGCGAGTCGAGAGCTGAGGCAGCAGCCACTGGACAGACTAGCTGTCGGGGAGAGCATGCTGACCACCCTCGCCCCCTGGGGATCTGCTGCCTCTAGGAGTGACCAAGGTAGTGATTGAGGAAGGATGTGTCCTCAGCCACCTGGGGTCTCAACGGCCATCTGCTGCCAACTCGCAGCTTTGTATGAATGTAGCAATTGTTCCAGGTGTCCCGTTTTAACAGAGGGGGAGACGCTGCCTGACCCGACAGACAGCCACACTGGGCAGACCCTGCTCTGGTCGTGGTTAGGGCTGGGATGTACCCCGGAGCTTCCTGAGCTATTTGTGTCTTAGGCTGGGAGGCCCCCAACCCCTCCCTAGCACCCAAAGATAGGGATATCTGAGCCGTGGGCACGATGGGCCGATAGCGGCTGCCCGCCAACCGCCACGCTGCCTATCACGTCCCCACAGGCCTTTATCACCGCCCAGGGCTGTGGGCGCTTATCTCAAAGGGCCGCCCGACCAGTGGGGGCATCGGGGCTCACAGGCCTGGCAGAACCAGTGGCCCCAAGGGCAGTGACCAGTAACCAGGGGTCCCCTTTCTCCCTCACTCCTCTCCGTGTCTTTCTCACTCTCTGGTCCCCACTCCTGCCTCTCCCAGCCTGAGGACCCAGCTCATGTGGACTGTCTGTAGGCACCATCCCCTTCCTCTCTGGGGTGCAGGGGACGGGGAGAGACAGAGCCCCGAGTCCTGGCTTCTCATGGGAAGAGAACCCCCACCTGGTCCCACACACAACCACAGCCCAGGGCACCATCTACTGCTACAACCCAGTTTGAGGGTCTCATTGGGGCCCACCAGTCAGGCCCACCACCACAGAGGTTACCTACCCTCGGGGTCTCTCTTTCCACCTGGACGGGGGGCAGTGAGGCTGCCGCCGCCAAGTGGTCAGGACTCCAAGACCTCTGAGCAGCCCCCTGTGGCCCAGCAGAGGGTAGCTGCAAAGACACCTTGGTGTTTATAAACTCCAGAGCACAAGCCCCGGGGTGTGGAAACGGTCAAATCAGCTACTTCCTCCCCATCAGTTGCCGACCCCATTCTGCTCCATCCCAGTCCCCCACCCCTTACTCCTGGTGGTCCCAGGGCACCAACAGTAGATGAAGCAGGTATGCAATGATTGCTTATGTGCATTTTCCAAAGTTATGATATTGTCACTTGGGCAACTTGGGCCCCAGCTGCTGAGAGACCTCGGGCAGGCCACCTGGCCTCTCTGGGCCTCAGTTTCCCCCAGACAGCTGCTATGAGGATGAAGGTTCAGGGGCAAGGTCTGTCTGCGGGAGGGGGAGAGCTGTCACAGCTCCTGGTGGGGAGGATCTTGGAGAGCCACAGACCCAGGGCTGAGGAACAGGGGAGATGGACACAGGGTCCCGGAACACACCCCACACCGAGCCCACCGAGGTTGCCACTGCCCCTATCAGCCCCTCCGTCCCCTGCCCTCCATCCATCTGCCTGAGTTTGAAGGAAGAGGAAGGAGGGTGGGCAGCGGGAGAGAAAGACGGTATTTTTATCTTTGAAATGACCTTGTATGCTCCAGGGGTTGTCTGTTTAAAATTCTGATATGCAAATGGCTGATAGCTATAATCTATAATCCCCAGCTCTAAGCATCTTGCTTCTCACAGGGTGTGGACTCCAAGGTCCAGAGAGGGAGAGAGTGGACCAGGATTCCGAAGTCATGGCAAGGGACGCCTGGTCTCAGGCAGGAGTGGCTACTGAGACCCTCCTGGAATACCATCCAGGAGGCACAGGCTGTTGGTGGCTGCCCCGTGGGAGTCAGGACTTTTGGTGGGAGTGGGGCTGGAGTTCCTGAGAGGGAGTTGGGGTCCCCAATCCAGCAGCCCCTGCTTAGACGAAGGTGGGACCCAGGCCTGGAGCAGCCGGAACATGGTGGGTAGAACTTGCCTGAATTGAGGAGCTGCAGGCTTCTTGACCTCCACACAACCCTTCACACACAGGGCCTCTTGTGCCCTACTGACACCCTATGAGGGAGGGTCGATGCTACTTCAGCCCTGTTTTATACTTAGGGAAACTGAGGGTCCGCGAGTTGGGACTTGAGTGGGGTTGTGTCCGGGGAGGTGGGATGTCTCTAAGCGTCACTTTAACCCCACCCCACCCGACACACACACCCAGGTGCCATAAGCCTCAATCCTCAGGGCTCCAGGAAAGGGATCTCCTTGACCCGTGAGTGTCTCCAGGCAGGCCTGAAGTTCTGTCTTAGTTAGCACCGCATACAAAATGAAATGCAGCTGGCCAATCTTTGGGTATGTTTTTCTGTCTCCAGCAGGGCAGGAGAGAGCCCAGTGGGAAGTAAGGGCCAGGCCTGAGAGATAGGAGGGGCAGCAGCGAGAACATGTACTCCTGCCCTGAGACTTACAGGACAAGGGGAGTTGGGGCCAGGGTGTTCCTGAGGCACGGAGCAGCACAGGGTGGCTGACACTTGAAGGACAAGGGTGGGGAGAAACAGGAGGTACAGCAGAGCTCTGGACAGCCACTCAGTCGCCTCTGTTCTCCTCTGAAGTGGAACCACTGGAGACCATTGGGTGGGTCTTTGTTGCTTTTCATTCGAAGATGATGCCTCTGGAGACCGGGGCCAGCATCCTCCCACACTGACTATGGGGAGGAGGTAGCCGTGAGGGGCCAGTGAGGGTGTCCAGGATGGCTGGCAGCTGGGAGTCCTCACCCAGAGTGGGAGCGGAGTGGGCTGGTTATCTGGGCCGGGCCCCACTGACTAATCTCCTCAGCCCCGAGTCTCCATGCAAACCTCAAGGTTTGTTATCGGGCTGCGGGCGGGCAGCTGAGGCAGGGCGGCCCGTCCTGATGGACAGCGGGGAGATGGACCGATACAGCGGCCGCAGACCCCCCTCCCCCCAGCCAGTGCAGCCAGCATGTGTGGGTGGGAAAAATCATTTCAGCTATTTTTCCTTATCACTGGGCCTGATAGGCCTACTTGTCTTAGATTAACGGGTGGGGGGAGGGACCTGGGGGGGTCAGGGCAATAGCAGGGTCAGCCTGGGGTCAGTTCAGGGCCAGCCCCATGGCAGTATCAGGACCTACCTCCTGGATGTCCCAGTAAAAGGGGTTCACATCAGCTCGGGAGGGGGCGGGTCCATGTTGACTCTCCCTAGAGAGCCCACCACAAGCCCCTCCCTGACACATGCCCCTCTGACTCCCCTCCGCCCCCCCCCATGCACAGGCCCATTCCCTTGTCTGGACCCTCCACCCCTCCCTATTGTCACCTTACCTCCCTAGAGTCCCCATGGGGGCCAGGCACTGGAGAGGGGTGAAGACATAAGCGGTCCTCAGTGCCCCCCACAAGAGGCATGGGGGTGACCCAGGTAGTAAGGTTAGCAGGAACATGAGGACCAGGTTTGAGATGGAGGTCGTCCCTTCGTTCAGTAAGCTGTGGCTTAACACAGGGTCTACAGTTGAAGCTCACCAGCTGCCCCTCAGAAATCCTACCCAGGGTCGCTATGAGTCAGAACTGACTCCCTGGCACTTAACACAATTCTAAGGGCTCTAGTGGTAATGTGGTTAAAGCGCTCCTTGGCTGCCAATCAAAAGGTTGGCGGTTTGAACCCAGCAGCCACTCTGAGGGAGAAAGACGAGGCTGTCTGCTTCTGTAAAGGTGTCCAGCCTTGGACACCGTAAGGGACACTTCTGTGCTGTCCTACAGGGTCACAGAGTAGAACTGACTTGATGGTGACATCTTTGGTTGGTGAGTTTCCTGGTGTGACAGCAAGCCCGAGCCTGGGGCTGATGTCCTATCCGGGGAAAGACCCCAGGTCTGGGGAGGAATACAGCCAGGGAGAAGGGGTGCACTTGTGAGTCCAGGCGGGGCCTACTGTTGGAGCGTGGACAGAGCTGCCCTTGTTGGGTCTGTGTGCCAG